GAAGTAGATTATTTTCCATTTTTAATACTATTACTTTTTAATTATAATTTGCATTATAATTATTCCATACTAGTAAAATCTTCTTCTCCCTAAGTAGCTGCCAAGATAGATTTATCTAGTTCGAAATTCGGTTTGTTTTTCATAGACCACTTAGCTGTTTGGTCTCTGATTTTCCATTTGTTTTCTCTCTTGGTTTATTCAATAATTTATGCATAAGTTGAAATACTTACCTGAACTTCTTCCCATAGTAACAGCTATTCTTCATTAGCTTCCACTTTTTAGATCACTTAAATAACCTGTTCTAGGGAGTTTATCATAGGTCCTCCAGTACAGTTAAACAATATTCTTCTTAGCAGTTCTGATTTGAACTATTCTAAGATTATCTCCGGTCTACCCAAGTAATGTCTCATTACTTCTGCTTGGTTGTATCCATTTTTTGGTAGTTAGAACTTCTCCCTATATTGTTTTTCTAAAAAAGTTTATAGTTATATGAAAATTTATGCTAAATTGCTACCACCTTACGCTTGGTAGCCTAGTTTTCTAGCTTGAGTTTAGAGTTCTTCAAGTAGAACTTTATCTACTTCTTCCATTTCTTTCCTCAAGATGCTTTCGTATCCCATAATTGCTTCTTTAATACCATTTTTCATCACTTCAACCTCTTCCTTTTTTAGAATACTTTTATCAATGATATTTTGTTTGAGTTTCTATGCACAGTCTTATATCAGTTCTTACATCAAGTTCATTTTCTCATCCCAAGTCATGTAGATACTCACTAGGTTTTCAGCTCTCTCTATTGCTTTCTCCACTTTCTCTTCTGCATCAAGAAGCGAGTCTATTAATTCGTAGTGACTGATTTTCTCGTTTCTAAAACCACTTTAGTCAACCTTTTAAAGATTTTTGACTACTTCTTCCTAGTACTCATATAGTTGTTGTAGACTCTCTATTTTTTGTTTTATAGCATTATCAATTTCTTTAGCTTCTTCCTTAGCTGCCTCGTCCACATTCTCCACAAAAGATTGTTCCTCATCTACTTGCATTTGATCTACAACCTGAGTTTCTTTCTGGTCAGTCACTGCCCCCATATAGTCATCCACATTTACATCATCCATCTTCTCAGTACATATTTTAGTGATTGAAAATTCTTATAATATCTAGTCTGGCTTTTACTCTCCTTAGCTGCCCATAGGTTGAGCTTGTAGCTATATTGAGTTTGTCACCTGACTTGCATTATGTTCTTACAGAGCCTCTTGCTCGAGCCGATCTATGTCATTGTCTATTCACATAGCTTCTTTTTTCTCTTCTTCATATTCTTTTTCTTGTCTTATAAGACTTAGATCATAATCTGTAAGTTCTTTACTAGTTGGTTTTTGTTGAGTTTGGTTAGATTAACCAAACAAATTGAAGATATTCATATAAATCTTTATATAAGATTTCCAAAAATTTTAGCATTTTCAACTATTAAATAAA